TTATAAACTTACCCAGGATGCTGGCTGGTTCAGACTTCATGATTCTTTTATTCATGTATGTATGTATGTATGTATGTATGTATGTATGTTTTTTTGAGACAGGGTTTCTCCATGTAGTTTTGGTGGCTGTCCTGGATCTTGCTCTGTAGACCAGGCTGGCCTTAAACTCACAGAGATCCACCTGGCTCTGCCTCCCAAGTGTTGGGATTAAAGACGTGAGCCACCGTCGCCTGGTTATGATTCTTTTATTTTGGTGGGACTATAAAGGGGTTGGATAGGTAAGAGTGCCAGAAAGTGCCCAAAGAGCTCTCAACTTTCTGAGGGTGGCATAGAGAGAGGCCCTAATTTAATTAATTAATTTTAAAAAGAATTTATTTATTTATTTATCTATCTATCTATCTATCTATCTATCTATCTATCTATCTATTTATTTATTTATTTATTTATTTATTTATTATATGCATGTATGTGTGAGGAAGCCAGATCCCCTGGAATTGGAGACAGTTGTGAGCTGCCATGTGGGTTCTGAGAATTAAACCCAGGTCTGAGCCATCTCTCCAGCCCTAATTAATTTATTTTTGAGGCAGAGTTTTACTATATAGCTCTAGCCAGCTCTGCTTCCCAAGTACTGGGATTAAAGGCATGCACCCTAATTTTAAAGAAGCTTCAAGATTCCAGTTTTACTTCTGTTTTGTTAGGGGGACTGGAGTTCCGTGAACTATTTGCATTTCTCTTTTTTGCCTGTCATTATAAAAGTCCCTTCCCCCAATAACCTCTGGGTAGTACTCTTGGAATCTCTGTTGGTTTTGATCAGTTTGCTGAAAAATCATTTGCCAAATGAGTATTTTCCCCGAGAACAGTCTGAACAATAAGCTAAACTGAGGTCCAAGGCAATTGGACCACAATCATTTGGGTTGCCGTAAGTCCTCAAAAAATAGAAAAGAGAAGCTGTTTGCAGTCAGTCTTCAGATGTGCTGGACTCTAACTGTGCAATACACACGAAATCGACGTTTAAGCAAACTGCACAGAGACGTGGCTGTGGGAAGAGCTGCGGCAGAAAGAAGCGTAGAATAAGCCTCGAAAATGGGGTCGTTTGGTCGTTCTGAGGATTGATTTTTGGAGGATGGGTCTGCTTCCAGGATGGGGATGGGATGAGAGCCTCCTGTGATGGGAGAAGGCTGCTGAGGGCAGAGGGACCCGGGGTGGATTTGTGGACAACTCTCCTATGCCTCTCCACAGAGATCCGAGAAGAGGAGGTGCAGACAGTGGAGGACGGAGTGTTTGACATCCACTTATAAGATGGTGAGTCCTCCCCCCCTTTGCAAGCTGCCACAGAGTCCTCCACAGAGGGCTGGGGTAGCTAGCTTGGGGGAGGGCCTAGGAAGTGACACTTCTCTAAACAGCCTGGGCAGGTGGGCTCATACTTTGACAAGGGGTTGTCTTCCTTACATCTTCTGTTTTTTCTCTTCCCAGCTGTGACTATCAAGGACTCATTCCTGCTTTGGAAGACTTGGAGCACAGCAGGGAGACTGGAGTTCCGGGGCAGGAGACTGGGCTGAGGGTGGGGGTTGAGGGTGGCATGCACTGAGGTCAGGGCCAGGGCTGGCGTCCCTAAGGTTGTACAGGTTCTTGTGAATATTTGTATCTTCCAGATGGAATAAAAAGGCCCGAATAATTAATCCGGACAATTAGCCTAAAATCCTCAGATGCTGTGCTTCTAGGGACTACACTGCTGGGGTCTAGAATTCCTAGGTTGGACAGGTTGCAACCTCATGTGCATCTGGAATCTGGAGGTAACGAGGCCTTAGAAGCAGAAAGACCTCAGAGCGCAAGGCTCTTGGGAAGGGTCTAGAACGGGAGGGGGTCCTGAATCTTGGGGGGTTCTGAGCCTTGACACTAGTGAGTCTTTGCACCCTAGAATTGCTGGGCCTGGTGCAACTCGAGTTTTCAACCCATAAGCAAAACTCCCCTGCCTTCCAGGTAACCTTCTAGGCCCTGGTTGAATACTCCAGGGACAGGGTGCTTATGGCAGGAGGGAGAGGGCCGCCCAGGGTGCCGGCTGTGGAGAGAGAGCTGGGAGCCAGGAGGGGTGGGGACAGCTAGAGGCTTGGGCTGGTGTGCCTCAGGGTGGGGGCTGAGCTCCATGGTCTCGCAGCCCCTTGGCCTGGTGCTGCTGACAGCCGGAAGGACAGCGACTTCCAGAGGAAATGCATATTGATCCTGCTCAGCTCCGGAGGCCTCTCCTAACCCAGCTTGCTCTTCCCTCCTGAGCTGGCAGTGCTTGGGGGTGGGTGGGTGTCACCATTAACTGAGTAAGGCCAAGGCCATTTCTAAGGCTGCGCTGGGACAGGAGGATGGTCCATGGGGGTCACCCAGAGGATCTAGAGCCTGCCCAGCCTGCCCCTAGGGTCAGGAGGTACCTGATAGCAATCCTGAGAATGGGAGTTACCTCTCCAGATTTCCACACTGCAGGATGCCCTAGAGCAGCTGTTGGATTGTTCTGGGAGTAGAGAAGGAGCACCCCCAACTCCCTACCTGCACATCACCCTGTTCTGCAGACCTGGCTGTGGTCTCAGGTTCCTCGGAGAATGCACTGTCCCACTGTCCCAGAGCCCCCACTTCCTGCCCACCTCTACCTTTGGACTCCACTTCCCCTGGCCTCTTAGCCCATATTTGGGGCCACCTCATTCTCCTGACCTGTCACAAGGATCCGCTTTAGTCCTGTCCCTCACTGAGTCCCCTACATTGCCTCTCCTCCTGTCCTCAGCCCCCTCCTGCCCTTCCCCCTCTGGAGGCTGTAATATCCGTTTCACGATTTGGGGGCTGAGTTGCTATAACAACAGACGGCGATTGTGTTGTGAAGAGCAGCTCGCTCCTGCTCTGCCAGCCTGCCTCCCGCTGCCTCCATCCCTGCAGCCTGGCCGGCTCCCCAGCCCACCCCCAGCCCCTTCCTGGCCTCTTCCCAGTGTGTGGTGTGGCCTGGTGCTCAACTCTGCCCATCCGGGATGCGACATGTACCTGTCTTTCCGCTGTCATTCAGATGTGTCAGAACTGGATGTCTGGGCTTCACATGTGTGTGTGGGGCCTGCACCTGTGTCTGCAGGTTTTTCCCTCCCTATGACCCTACTGACCTGTGTACTGCCTAGAAGGGTGTTTATTTCATGCTTCCCACCCATGTCCACACTGGGTGGGAGCCTGTGTATGTGAGGGGTGTATTCTGAAGTGGTGGGGCCTAGCTGTCACGAGGGGTCTGAATGTGGAACCTCCCGACTAGAGGAGAGAGGCAGGGAGGTGAGGCAGGCTCCAGTGACCTTTCCTGCCCTTGATGGGAAAAGCTGAGGGTGGGGACAGGAGACCAGTGTCACCCTTGGTCCCGCCCCACCCAGATTCCTTGGTTATGAGCATTGTCATTGGGTCACTGCACCTGCTTGTCTGTCCCTCTGCATTTTGGTGTGTGTGTGTGTGTGTGTGTGTGTGTGTGTGTGTGTGTGTGTGTCCTGCAGGAGGAGGAGCAGTGGAGGATGGGTGGGGCAGTGGGCTGTGGGGTCAGAAAGGCCCTGACTCAGCAGTTCCTGTTCTTCCTTCTCCAGTGGCCTTGGCGGAGGGGGGTGGGGAGCAGCTTGAGGGTCTTTCCAAGGTCAGGGTAGGCCCCAAGTCTGGGACTTGGTTCAGGAATTTCTTTCCACTGCCTAGGAAGTACCCTCTGCTGCTAGGTCCCCTCCTATCCCCCTTACAGGTTGTCAAAGGCGGTCCTCTGGAGGGTGTCCACATCCACTAACTCAAGAATTGACCGCTCTCTGGAAAGTGCCTTCTGATGGTTAGGGTGACTCCGTGGGCAGGTCCCCTGTGAGCACCTTGGGTGTGTGTGTGCCCTTGACTGTGTGTGCAGGCACCTGTGTGCACAAGTATGTAGGTTCTTGAGTGAGTGTGGCTTTCCTGTGCTGAGTTACCAAAGGGGGGCATCTCTGAAGTGTCCCTTTGTGTCTTTTGGAAACGCTAGGCACACACAAGACAGGTATGCATGGCTGTGTGCCCCCATGTGTATTTGCATGCATAAGTGGTTTGATGTGTGTTCTTGCATATCGCCTCTGGCTAAGGAAATGCCAACTGCTACCAGCTGTGCAGATCACAGGCCCTGTAACAGAAATCAGGGGCCTGGAGAAAACTGGCAAAATGGTCTGCCACACACCCACGGCCACACCCACGCCTGCACACTGCCTCATTGAGAAGCCCCGCGTCCAACTTAGCTAATGGTATACACACCAGACGCTGGCTCTACCTTTTCTCGGTGGAATAAGTGAAGGAGGGTGTTCCCTTCTCACACTCTGACACAAACACGGCGATGCAGACATTCTTACTGCAGAAGACCTGCGCCCCAGGACCACATTCTGAAATCCACAGCTAGGGGTAGGAGTTTGAAGGCAGGATGCTATCAGCCTCGCACTCAGTAACTGGGTGTGTGTAGCCTCAACCCAGCCGCTAATCTTCTATCCCAGCCCAGCCTTCCACGGGGGTGGGAGATGGCTCCAAACCCTGGGATTCCCAGGAGTCTGGGCTGGGAAACCCCAAACTCCTAGGTCTGTTCTGTTTCTAGCTCAGCTTTTTCCTCCCCCACCAGCTTCGTCCTTATCTCAGCAAAGATCCCTAGCTGTTCAGTTCCGGAGGCTTCCGCCTAGAAGATGCTGGGATAGTGATGGGTAGGGTCTCTGCGAGTGACTGGAAAAAGCCACTAACAGTCGGGGGTTCCAGGTAGCCCAGGCCAGCCTCCGGACGCAGCCAGCAGAGGGCGCTGTGGCTCAGGCCCCGCTCAGGTCCTGCTCTCTCGGTGCCCCAAGTCGGGGTTCGGTCTTCTCCTTTGGTTTGTCCCAGCCCTGGGCACTGTTTTCGGGACCAGCCGGCAGGGGCGGGTGGGTGTGGGATCCAAGGACCCAACCATGAGGAGAGGGGGCTAGGGCACCTGGATTCCCAAGACATTGAAGCTGGGGGGAGCACCTGCTGGGTTAGGAGACCTGGACGTCTAGGCTAAAGTCCTGAGAGGCGCGGAAGGGCTCGGATGCCCTGGGGCCGGGACGCCTGGGTCCGCGCGGGGGAGGAGGTGGGCCAGTGGAGCCGCGGGACTGGCGGCTTCTGCACCTTCGCATTGGCCGCACAGCTTGTCCGTCAGCGCTGCGTGGTCCAATGCGCGTGCCTGGGGGGCGGGCCCTGGTGCTGATGCTGCCGTCAGTCGGTGTTGCAGGGATGCGGCGGCGGGAGCAGCCGCCCTGACTCTCAGAGCATCCTCCTCGGAGCGGCACCGCGGCGGGGCGGGCGGGGACGCGGCGGGGACCGAGAGGCGTGAGGCGGCCGATATCGCTGGCCTCGGATCTGTCATCTGCCGGAGACCAGGCGGTCTCGAGGCTCTGATCCCCACCCTTCAGCTCCTGGCGCCCCCAGAACCAGGTATGGGAGGGGGGGCTGCGGCGGAGACGGGTGGGGGGCGGGAGCCAATCGGGGGAGGGGAGCGGGTCGGAGGGGGCGGCGGATGCAGAAAGGACGGATTTGGGGGCGGGGGCGCCGAGTAGAGAGGACTGGCTGGGTGACAGCGAGGAGGCTAAGCCACTGGGGGAGACTGGGGGACTCCCTGTGGAAGGGGCATTGGCCCTGAGCTGGGGCGAATGGAGGGGATGAGGGAGGGTCGTTGGGGGAAGGGATAGGATGTGAAGAAGGGACATCCATAGGGTTGTGAGAAGGGGTCTGGAATTGGGGGAGGTCCCCAGTCTATGCTGTTCCTGGCAGCTGGAAGCAGTGATGGGTCAGAGAGGCTGCGAGCTGTTGTGGTCTGAAGGGTCTGCAGGGGAGAAACACTGGTTTCCGTGGGAGAGGAGGCCGACTGGAGAGAGGATTGAGAAGTGGAGAGGGAGGTCTGGGGGTAATCACTGAAGAAAAGGCTCTACTGGGGGATGGGAGCCAAGGGGAGAGGAGGTTATCAGGAGGGAGCAGAGGGGAAGATGCCAAGATGCTCTAGGCATAGATGAGTCTGTGATGGGGAAGAGCTGGACAAGATGGGGGGCCTGAGGGAGAGGAGAGAGGCTTGCTGGGGAAGGCCGGGGGGTGACAGGGAGGGAAACCAGTGGGAGAAGCTCTACTTGGGTAAGAATGTACTTGGGGGCAGCGGTAGGGTTCTGGTCACAGACTGCTGGAGGGGGAGAGAAAGCTGCTGAGCCCTGGGCTTACTCCCCCACCCCAAAGAGGTGGGGACTATTTCTCATGTCCCAGCCTTCTTCCCCAGAGGAAGGAACAGTCTGCCCTGGGTTCTCTGGGATGGAGTATGAGCCCCCGGACCCTGGGTGGGCTCTGGAGGTAAAATTGGCTTTGCGGGGCTGTTGGGCTGTTACAGCTGCCTTTGCTGTCACCCCTCTTCAGTCTTACTAGAGGCATCTAGGGCCTTAGTGAACCGGCAGGCCTGGGAGGGGCTGTTTCTTGGTGCTCCACGGTGAAAGGGGATCCTGCCCAGCTCTGTAAGGCTCAAGTAAATCTGAGGGGGTGGGTCTTGGGTCTCCAACCCCCTTGACTACTTCCGGCTTTCACGCACCCTCATTTTTGCACATATTGTGGGTGGGTGGGGTAGGCAAGGACCTTCCAGTCATCCCTGCCCCTCTCTCTTGTCCACCTTCCCAGTGTCTGGGCGTTCCTTCTGGGGGAGGGTTTTACATCCTCTATCTTCTGCTAGAAAAAGAGAGAGAAGAGAGCAGGAAAAAAAAAAAGAGAGGGGCGATGAGCTAGTCAGTTAACTACATGGAGAGCCTTCTGCTTTGTGGGTGTTTCAGCTACTTGGGTCCCCAGCTCTCCCACCCCAACCTGGGATGGCTCAGGGGTGAAGACATCAGAGTCGGGGGCAGGGAGAAGGGTCGGGTGGGAGGCTCCTTATCTCTGCTAAGGGAAGTGTGCTCAGACCCATTCCATCCTCAGCCGCACAGGGGTGGGCGGGACTGATCAGTTGGCTGTGGTTGCTGGGGAGTTGCTTCTCCGCCTGGGCTGAATCCACATGACAGCATCTCCAGAGAGGAAGGGGCCGGGCACTGGAATAGCCATCAGGAACCTCCACGTCTCTCCAGGCTCAGTCTTTACTCAGGTTCAGCTGTTCTGTTCTGTCCACCCTTGCCAGGGACACAGACATCCTGACACTGATCCACTCTCTTGGTGGCACCCACCCAGACACACACCTACACACACACACACACACACACACACACACACACACACACACACACACACACACACACTTGCGTATACAATACAACTCCCCAGCAGCACATCACCCACACTCCCCGCCCAGAGAGACTGCCACCTCCCGCCTGCCTCAGAGACCTCCTCCAGGTGCCCTGCTTCAGTGCATAACACACACAGAGCCCCTAAGTGTTCCCAGGTCCCCTGACAAAGCACTGCCAGTCCTTACTGTTAGAGACACACAACTTCTACCACTATTCATCAACCCAGGCTCACAGACATCTCAGGCCCACTTGCCCTCCTGGTATACGCTTGCCTTCTCTTCTGAGTACACACGCCCACGCCTGCACACCTTCCCAGACACACCAGCCTCTGCCTGCCACATCACATGCACCGCATGCTAGTCTGATTCTTGAGCATTTTGAACCAAGTCTGTATGTGTGCACATTAGCACACAGGCTGTCTGATTTCCTCCTTTATGCCTTGACCTGCACCCTATCTATAACTCTCACCAAATTCTTGTCACTCTCTTCTCTTCGTATTTTCAGAAAGCTCTAAAACCCCAGGTCTACTCTAACTGATCATGACCACAGTGACTCCAGACCAGCTTTGCCCTTAGCCACCCCTGGCCTTGTGCAGAGCCTTGAGTTCTGGCCTAGCATTTCTCCCCCACACAAGGCCTGCCCGACACTGGAGACACAGTGTCCGTCCCTTCGATTCAAGCTCCTGCTCAGGCCCCACGGGGACTCCCAGAAGTGTGTCCTCACACACCACCCACCCCTTGTGGTTCCATCTGTTGGTGCAGTTCTGTCCCAGCCTCTTCCGTACTGACAGGCCTGTGGACTTGCTGAGATTCATTCAGTAATGCACCTTCCTGTCATTTTCAAAGCTGTTTTTTTTTTTTTTTTTTTTTTTTTTTTTTTTTTTTAACCACTGCCGCCATTCTATGTGGGTGGATGAGGGTGAGGCTGCACGGACGGTGCCTTGTCCGCCAGTGAGCCTCAGTTTCCTTATCTGTAAAAAGGGTGTTTCCATACTGATATCAGGGGAATGCCTCAGGGTCTGGCTGAGAGGATTATGATGGTTGCTATCACAGTAGCAGCAACTGGATTTAGTGTGCACCTACTGTGTGCTTGACTGAACTTTTCCATCTGGTGTATTTGTCAGGCACATGGAAAGCCCTCCCGCCCCCCCCCCCCCCCCCCCCGTCAGCAATAGGTGTTTAAACATTTTTTACACTGGTTTGTTCATTTTTTTGTGTGTTATGTGCATCATGGTGTATATGCAGGGGTCAGAGATCAGCTTGTGGGACTTGGGTTTCTCCTTCCACCGTGTGGATACTGAGGATCAAACTAAATAGTCAGGCTTGTCAACAACACCTTCCCTGATGAGCCATCTTGCTGGCCCAGCAGCAGGTATTTTTTTTTTTAATTATATCCTTTCCTACACACACACACCTGTTAGACACCTTCAAGAGCATTCCACCCGCTTCAGGCTTACTCATGAGCACCCCGCCCCCCAAACTATCTGTCCCCTCTGCATCACTGAAGTGCACTCTCCCAGGTCTGTGTGCTCCAGCTGTGCATGGCACAGCGGTGCTTTCTGTGATCACCCCTCCCACCACTCACCACCAAGCTTCCATAGACTGTGTTCCAGCCCCCATTCTATCAAGTCACTCCATCACAGCTCCGTCCCCAGCCCACCCATTACCACAGCCCCACCCACCTGGCAGTAGCCTCCATGCACACACCTCCAGCTGCCACCCTTGTCCTCCGGCCCTTGCTGTTTTTCTCCAGACACACAGACACACCAGCACACACACAGCCACACGAGCACACACCAAGTGCTGGCGTCCCACACTCACCTGTCCTCAGGCCTCTTCACCCTTTCTCCCACTTTCCTAGGCAAGACAAGCTACTTAGAAGAATAGAGAAGGACCTAGAGGTGAGGTAGACTCAAACTGGAGACCATCCCAGCTCTGTCACTTGGGAGTGCTGTCACCCTGTGTGGCCCCATCTCTTGTAAAAGGGAACCTCACTAAGATCTACTTTGCTTATCCCCTTGTCAGGGGAGTTCTTGTAAGGCCCTGGCAAGGATTAAAGTAAATACCAGACACATGCAGTGCTGCAAAGCAGGAAAAGGCTGAGAGGTTCTAGAAGCAATCATTAACCCAACACACTTCCACACTGCAGACATCTCAGCAAGGCTGCACTTTTGCACATACCCTGATGCTGACAGTATTTCCAACTTGTGGAATTGGCATCCGTTTTGCTCAGACTGCTCTGGGAATTATGGAGCCCAGACAGGGGAATCCAGCTGGTCAAGACTGGTGGGTCAGTGGGAGTGTTTAGACTAAGAGGCTAGTGAACTCTAACCTTGTATTCTGAAGGAAATGGGGGCCCAAAGAGGCTAAGTAGTTTGCCAAAGGCCGCACAGGTTTAATGGCTGTTGACAGAGGTATAGCTGGCATTGGAAACTAGGCTCCTGAGCGCTAACTATGCATGCTTTGGCCTGCTGTGAGGCTTGGATGTATGACTGCTTGGATCCTCCTCGGTCTTCACTAGGTCATCAGGGCTGGACAGGCGAGTAGGGAGGCAGGAACTGTTTGTAGCCTGTCCAGCCTGTCAGTTCTGCCTGGGGCTTTAGTGGGGGAGATATTGTCCTTAGAAACCATTATGAACCCAAGGGTACCTTGGGCCACACAGTCTGATGTCCTCTTGTTATGACTCAAGAGCCACCCCCTTCCTACGCCCAGTGTCTCTGAATAGCAGTCATCCCTCCTCAGCTTGTACACCTCCACAGATGGGGAACTCATTCCCTGCCCCCTCTGAGGCAGCCTACTCCACTGTTGCACGGCTTGGACCGCGGGCAAATTTCTTTAGAGCTTGATCCAAATTCTCCCCCCTCAAAACATGCACTTCTCCCACCCGTCCGCGGGATGCCTTCTGGGGCCACCAGCATGTGTGTAAACCCAGATCTTCCTCCCTGGCGCCTGCGGGGGGTGGGTGGGCCCTGCTGTCTCGCTTCCAGCTGGCATGAGGAGAAGAGAACCAGAGAGAGGCTGCATTCTCAAGGCTGGAGGTGTGTGTGCGCACATGTGCGTGCATGCATGCCCAAGTGCGCGTGAGTGTATGTGCGCGTGCGTGCGTGTGTGCATGTGTAGGCATGTATGTGGGGGCTGGTCAGAGAGCCAGCTGAATGGATGCTGGGAGAAGGCTGATGCCAGGATGGCTTGGAACTGGCATCCGTTTTGCTCAGACTGCACTGGGAATCATGGAGCCCAGGCAGGAGAGTCCAGTTGGTCAGGATCAGTGGGTCCAGTGGGAGTACTTAGACTAAGAGGCTGGTGAACTCTGCTCCAGTCCTGTCTTCAGTGTCAAGGCCAGACAGTGCTCCTCTCTTAACTGCTGAGCCATCTTTCCAGCCCAGTCTCTGCTCCTCTCTACAATTCAGTTTCCCTTTAGGGAAATGATGGAAAGAACCCATGGGTTTGGAGTCCGTCCACTGTGAAGGCCAGAATAAAGGCAGGTGGGCTTGTGCCTCAGATGCCGCCCGGTGGCCTGTGGGCAATGCAAGACTGAGGGATGCCATTAAGTTTGGGACCAGTAGACTCTTTTCCTCTGTGCCAGAGAGTCTACCTCCCCATTTGTTGTCTTGTTTGTGAGCGTGGGTGACAACACTGCTTCTTAGGGCCAGGGAGAGGGATCGGGTGGTGCCTCACGGGTCCAACCCGGCATCTTACAGAGTGGGGAGCCCAGACATTGCAGGTCACTTGCCACAGTGGTACAGGCCTGGCTGTGAGAAGATGGGGAGGCTATGTGGGTGGCTCAAGAGAACCAGGGAGTGTTGTCATTAGGAGAGGGTAGACAGAGGCCCCAAGGACACCCACATCAGCCCACCCCAGCTCCTCCTGCACTACACCACTTGCCTGAGTCCATCTGTGGGTCGGGGGTGCTAGGGTGATGACAGGATGCTGAATCTTGTGATGCCATGGGAAAGGTCAACTCCCCAGAGGAGCAGTGGCCTATGGCCAGAGGGAACTGGCAGGGTGTACTGCGTTGACATCCGTAAGTAGGCAGGAGCCCCTGGGTCTACTTTGGCCAGTGTCCCCACATTGGAGAAAAAGCATGGGTTTGGGGGGACAGTGCTTGGATACTGTGGGTACAAAGCCCAGGAGAGGGCCCTTGCCTTATACATCTCCCTTAATACCTTTACCTTGGTGTAGTTGTACAAGGCAATGGAGTCGATCTCTGATGCCTAGGTTGCTGCTGAGGCCTGAAGAAGACTGTCACAGGAACCCCTGTACACTAGGAGCAGAGATGTTCAGAGGGGGAGCCAGCAGAAGCCAGGTCCTTTGGAAAGAAAGGCTGTAGGGAATAGCCAAGAGCAGCAGGTGTCCCAGGCACTGTGGGGTAGGGTGGAGTGGAAAGGACCCAGGTGTCTGCTTAGCTCTCTTGGGACTGTTTCTGCCTCCTCGCAAGCCTGAAGCTGCCCCAGGGGTCCCTGGGTCCCCAGAGAGGGGACTCCAGGAGGGCTGGGCTTCCCTTTGGTTGACCCTGTTGCAGAGTCAGGAGGTCTCTACTGCAGAGCTGTGAGGAGAATGAACAATGAGCACGGAGGGTCTGAAGGCCAGCCTCTGCCCTCACCCTCCCTAGAGGCAATGTGCACACCCGGTCTCTGCCCACAGCAGCTGCCTACAGATGGGCACTCTCCCTTGGCCGTTCTCTATTCTCCCTCTACACGCAGGTTAACTGGAGTCACCCCTTTGTGAATTCTCAACCACTCTGCACCCCACCCCCGACCAGACAACTTGCCTCTGGCTCTCAGGACCCAGGTACTGCCTGGGAGCCTCTGGAATCTTCCTCTACTCCATCCACCCATCCTCCTTCAACTTCTTGACTGGGTAGACAGAACAAGACACCTTCCGCAGGCTTCCTCCTTGGCTACCTCTCTAGAGGGCTGGGGCTCAGGGTTGTGAGCATGACGGGACTGTGGTGGGGGTGGGGCAGAGGAATGGCACCCCTCCCCCCAAGCTGGGGTGTGTGTGAGTGGACAGCAGCACACAATCTCATTCCCTCCACCAGTGGAAATCAATAGCTAATTAATTCTCTCCCCAAAATAGTGTCCGGAGGTGGGGGTGGGGGCTAGGAAAGAGGTAGACAGAAGCAAGGCGGGGCCAGATTGAGACCCTGGAGGAGGAGGGGTGAGGGGAGGAGGAGGCACGGTCAGTCTTTTGGACACCAGGGCTGGGCCTCTGCTGGCGGTCTCTGTCTGTCCTCTTTGGAGAAGGGAAGCTTTGGCTTTTCCGATTCTCTAGCTTCAGAGTCCCTTGCCCCTGCCCTGGGCTGGGGGTGTATGTGTGTGTGTGTGTGGGGGGGGTGAGGGCGTCAATCAGGCTGGGAGCAGGTGCTGCATTTAATTTGATTGGCTAATTAGCCCGTGCATGCTAATTATCTCCATTACCCAATGAGGAGAAGCGGTAGCACGCTATATATAACTGGCAGTGTTTGCAGGAAAATGGGGCTGCGGGCCTGGCTCTCTTCTCCCTGACTCGGAAGGGGCAGCCTTGGGGGGTGCCGGGGCGGGATACTCTGTCCCCCCCCCCCCCCCCCCCCCCCGCCCCACCATGGTAGCCTGTAGGACTCCGGTGGGCCGCAGCCAGAAGCAGGGTGAAAGAGCTGAGAAGGGGGGCTAGCTCTGCAGCTGTATTTCAGATGTTCGCCTAGCCACCACTGGTTCCAGAACCCTCTCTGCTGTCTTTCTTCTGAACATGGGTCTTTCCAGCCCCCCCCCCCCCACACACACACTCTGAACATTCCCTTACTGTGGTTCTTTAGTGCAGCCCTAGCTGCTTCCTTTATATCTCAGCTTCCTCCCTGGGAGCTCTCCGGTTCCCACCCGACCCTAGCCCCCCAAGTCACTCATCTCACCTCTGGGACCTCGCCTGGGGCTGTCCTGCTCTTTGCCTCTATCTTGGGCACACCGGAGTTGGACAGACTTGGATTTGAGGCCTAGCATGCTCTTGGCTGTCTGTGTGACCTTGGCCAAGTCCCTAGACTCCTCTATATGGGTTTCCCCAAGGGTGAATAGGAATAATGGAACGCTTTGACTGACTAAGTAAAACAACATTTGTAAAAATGCCCTGGATCCTGGGTCACGACAAACGCCATTTGAATTTGGAACTTGACTTTCTCAACCTCCTGTTTCTCTTCTTCCCACCAGCCCCCTCTCTCCTCCATTACTCTTCTTTCTCCACCACTTTCCATGGGCTCCTCCACTTTCTCTTTCTCCTCTCCACCTGTCCCCAGCTCCTCTGAAACTCTGGCCCCTCCCTGCTTCTTTCCCAGGCTTCACATCACCTCCTTCTCTCCCTCCTTCCCACCCTCCCTCCCCAAAATAAAATCAATGCAATATTCAGGAGGGTTGTTGGATATAAATAATTACGACTTGGAGTTTAACGAGATGCAAATTCCCCTCCCTGTCGTGGGGTATAAATTGCTCCCTGACAGCCCGTTACAAGGGTAATCATTTCAGAAAGGCAATTTTATGCAAATGAACCTGCCTGCCTCCCGGTAGCTCCCCCCACCCCCAGCCCAGGGCTGGGGGCCTGGATAAGCTGAGTGTTGAAGAGAACCCCAGGTACTGGGACCGATCCTGAGGCTGAGGACCTAGACCTGGAGGGAGGTTGAGGGTGACTCACCCTTATTCAGAAAGACCTGGGCAGGTGGAAACTGAACGTTTGACAGTGGACCACCAAATAAGACTGGGAGTCTAGAAAGGGCTTAGTGTGGCATAGGGGGGAATGGAGGCACAGAAGTGAATGTCTGTGCTCATGGATGGATGTACGGTAAGGGCTTGGGGTGAGGATACCTGGTCCTGGCTGGCTTCTCGCCCTTGCCCCTTCCCAGTCTGGTAACCCTGTGGTACCATTGACGAATTGGCATTTAATTAATCCCAATGAATTATTTAGCAACTTCATTATCCAACATCAAGAGCTGATGAGAGAGACTTATCCCTGGCTGAAAGTGGGAGCCAGGCCCAGAGGTTAGGTGGCTCGGAGAAGTGGCTGGGGTTAACTGCTGGGGGACCGCGCCGGGTCCAGGAACTGGCCTTGGTTCTGACCTTTGGACTTTAGAGAGGGTTAGGGTGAGGGCTGCTCCACTGGATTTCACACGGACTCTAAGGAGTCACTTCTTCGCCGGTTGGCACCTCAAACCAATAACGCCCACAGCGAGCACTCATTTCAACTGTTAGCCCCCCCGCCAGCACTTTCAATTATAATGGTATCTCTTGCTTTGGAGAACCTCTGCAGGTCAAGACCAGCTGAAGACCTCAAGGGAGCTGGCCATGCTGGATCAGACCTGTAATCCCAGCACTTGAGAGAGGAGGTGGAGGCGGGAGGATATCAGGAGTTCCAGGTCATCTGCTACAAAAGGAGTGGGGGCGGGGGGGGGGGTGGGGCAGCCAGGGCTAGAAGAGACTGTTTCCAAAAAACAAACAGAAAAGTGCTAAAAGGAAACAGGTAGTCACCTGCCAGTTTGAGGAGGGGAGCCAGATACCAACGACACCCCATTGACTCTGAACCCTCGATTAAACCTTTCCCCTCTGTTTCTTCGCAGGCGTCCCTCCCCCACCTTCTATCCGAGCCCGCCGCGGGGGAGGGGCTCCGCCGCCACCGCCGCCGCCGTTGCCTTCCGGGGACGTGGGCACGTGAGCCCGGGCGACTGGGTCCATGGCACTGTGAGTCGGCGAGGGAGCCCCGCTCCGCGCGAGGGGCGCCCGGCCCCCTCCCCGCCCCATGCGCCCGCGGCTCTGAAGCCTGAGCGGGGCCGGGGGCCGGGCGGCGTCGGGCCGCCGGAGGCATGGCGCTCGGGAGTCGGTGGCGACCGCCACCCCAGCTGCCGCCGCCGCTGCTGCTGCTGCTGCTGGCGCTGGCGGCGGGCGTCCGTGGCCTGGAGTTCGGCGGCGGCCCCGGGCAGTGGGCTCGTTACGCGCGCTGGGCGGGCGCGGCGAGCAGCGGCGAGCTCAGCTTCAGCCTGCGCACTAACGCCACGCGCGCGCTGTTGCTCTACCTGGACGACGGCGGCGACTGCGACTTCCTGGAGCTGCTGCTGGTGGACGGGCGCCTGCGGCTGCGCTTCACGCTGTCGTGCGCCGAGCCCGCCACGCTGCAGCTGGACACGCCGGTGGCCGACGACCGCTGGCACATGGTGCTGCTGACCCGCGACGCGCGGCGCACGGCGCTGGCGGTGGACGGCGAGGCCCGCGCCGCTGAGGTGCGCTCCAAGCGGCGCGAGATGCAGGTGGCCAGCGACCTGTTCGTGGGGGGCGTCCCCCCCGACGTGCGCTTATCGGCGCTCACGCTCAGCACCGTCAAGTACGAGCCGCCTTTCCGCGGCCTCCTGGCCAACCTGAAGCTGGGCGAGCGGCCACCGGCTCTGCTGGGCAGCCAGGGCCTGCGCGGCGCGGCTGCCGACCCCCTGTGCGCTCCCGCACGCAATCCCTGCGCCAACGGCGGCCTCTGTACCGTGCTAGCCCCCGGCGAGGTGGGCTGCGATTGCAGCCATACTGGCTTCGGCGGCAAGTTCTGCAGTGAAGGTGAGTCCCGGCGCGGGAGCGAGATGGAGGGATGCGCGGGTCGGGTCCTGCTGGCCTGTGCTGGGGCGGGAGGCGGAGGGAGAGCGCGCTCAGCCGTCCACGGCTGCGTGGCAGCGCCGGGGTTAGGGCCTAGGGAGCCCGGGCAAGTGCCTGAGGGCCGGTGCTGCTCCAAGGTAAACCCGGAGGCCCGCGGTGTGGGCGTGGCCCGGGGCGTGGCCAGGGTGAGCGCTCACGCGACCTGTGCGTAAGGATCCGAAGGGATTGGTGGCTCGGGGCTTGTGAATGGATGGGAAGGTCTTGTGGGTGGGGCCTGGGCAGGCCGTGCCTGTAGGGGGACCGGTAACTCGGGTGGGGCCTTGTGTGACTTAAGGCAGGGTTGGTGGCCCGCCTTTGAGAAGTGGTGGGAGAGGTCCGAGTGGGCAGGGCCTCTGAGGGGCTGGGGTTTGCTGGCTCTAGCCACTGTCCTGTAAGAAAGGTTGATCTGTGAGGCCCGGACAGAAATCCGAGTGAGGACCTACACCAGAGGGCCGAAAGGGAGATGGGACAGAGATGCTGTGACCTAAGAAGCCAGGAGAACGGGAATAGTGCATCTCCTCTCTCACAGGATCTCCAGGGTTGCTACAGCGGGTGGCTGAGGTTCCTGACTAACAGTTGACCTTTTTGGTGATGGGCCAGGATGGCAGGCAGACTCTCCCAGGTGCGAGACTGGAGGCGAGACTTATGTCTCCCAACACGGAAGCCCTTTCCAGCTTCGGGCTGGGATGAGATTGTAGGACTAGATAAGGCTAGGAGGTGGGACAGGGTTTGGAATGGGCCTGGGAAGGAAGGTCCTGGGGCCTCTTCCAGCACCCCAGTTTCTCTACTTGCTTGGGGGCTGCTTTGCGATTGTGTGTGTGTGTGTGTGTGTGTGTGTGTGTGTGTGTGTGTGCATCTTCAAGGAGGTGGAGTCTTTGAGGGAGTGTGTGTCCACAAACTAGTGTGGCCCTGGGGATGGTGTCCCAAAGCTGTGTGCATGTGGTCAACCTCCGGAGGAGTCAAGTCTGTAGACGTTGCCCTGTGTATGGGAAGTCTGTTCTTCAGCGTTTTGATTGTGTAATTCTAACTATGGTACATGAATAGGAAGGAGCCAGGTGGGATGGTGCACAGGCATAATCCCAGCATTTGAGAAGTAGAGGCAGGGGGATCAGGAGCTTCAAGTCATTCTCAGCCACATAGTGACTTTGGGTGACAGCCTGGGCTACATGAGATTCTGTCTCAAAACAAAACAAAAAAAAGCAAGCAAATGGAAAACCTAAGGAAGGGCTTTGGATTGTTTTGTTGGGTGGTGTTCTGGGATTCATCTTCAGGAACTGAGTGTATTAACATGGCACCTTCTCGGCTTTTCTCCAAGGAGCTCAGGCGCTCCCTAAACTGTGAAACTGTGCAGAGGCCCACGAGTCTGCCAGTATGTTTTGGGTGCCTATGTGTGAATGGGTCTGTTTGCGTTGTTCTTACTGACTGGAGACCAGTGCCTTGCAGAGCGACTAGAAGTCAGCTGTAAGGGTTTGCGCCCACGTACAGGTTCCCATGTGTGTGTCTCACTGAGAGACCTCAATAAGACATTTGGAACTTACGAGACATTTCCAGCACCTTAACTTTATCCTCCAGTTCCTATAACTAATGCCCCACCCCCACCCCACAGCCTTCCTAAGAAAACAGAATGAACCATCTTTCTAATTCAAGGGAGGGGAAATTGGAGCTATGAAGAGGTTGTGGTAACTGCTATATGGTCCCACTGTGGTAGACTTAGGCCTAGGTATGTGAGAATTGCATTCAGAGGCATCTTGGTCAACCCATTCTCTAAAAGCATCCATCCACCAGAGGCCTCCTGTGAACTAAGTGTGTGCTCCCGAAAGTGGGTTGTGTGATGATGTTGTCTAAGACATGGTGAAGTTTTTGTGTGTGAGAGGGATGGCCTTATTGAGTGGGTATGCTGGAGTCAAATGAATGTTTGGGTCAGCTGAGCAGAGGGAGACGGCTATGTGCATCTGACCCACTGTGTGACAGCTGGCAGAGGCAGGGGTTCCTGTGTGGATGTGGTGTCTAGATACCTCTGTGTGTGATCTGTGGAGAGAGAGAGAGGTGCTTTGTCTGTTAAAGGGCAGGATGTGTCTGTGTTCTCCGCACCGAATATAGTACTCAGCAGCCAGTGGGTGTTTGATTAAGACTCGGGAATGAATGGAGGGATATTAATAAGTATTTGAGAGAATGAAGGCTTGAAGTTAAGCCACACATGCTCTTGAAAACTTGCATGTGCATGTTTTGGGACCTATGCTGTGGGTGGTCATGGGGTGGAAGACGCTGCCTGCACCTTAAGCTGACAGGTGCAGCAGGACCACCCCCTCCTCTTTCCACGTCCTGCCTTATTTATTTTCCTTGTGTTTGTTCCTGAGTCCCTAAGCAGCTTCCCCTGCCCTCAGGGACAGGGTTTCTCTGTATGGAACTCACTCTGTAGCCCAGGCTAGCCTCAAACTCACAGCGATCTGCCTGCCTCTGCCTCTGGAGCGCTGAGATTAAAGGCGTGCACCACCACCGCCCGGCCCTAAGCAGCTTTTGTAATAAGCAGAGCCCATTCACTTCTTCCAGCACATTCCTGTGTCTGTGTGTGTTTGCGTGTGTTTGAGACACTCTTGCTATGTAGCCCAGGCTGGCCTCAAACATGATGATTTTCCCACTAGCACTCTGGAAGTGCTAGGAGTGTAGGTGTGTGCCATCCTGTCAGGCTGTCCTCCAGGACACCCCCAGGGGTGTCAGAAACAACATCTAGCAGAATCTGCTTCTTTTTTAAAAAATTTCAATTTTATTTATCATTAGTGGGTGTGTGGATCTGTACAGGTGCACGTAGACCACAGCACACATGTGGAGGTCAGAGAACAACTTTGTGGAGTTGCTTCTCTCCTTTCTACTTTCCCATGGCTTCTGGAGATCACATTCAGATCATCAGGTGTGGGTGGCAAGCACCATTATCTCATATGGGTATGTGTGAGTACCTGCATGTATGCATGTGCACCATGTACATGCCTGGTGCCCTTGGAGGCCAAGGAGTATGTCAGATTCCTGAGAGCTGGAGTACCAGAAGATTGTGAGTGAGGCTGGGAACCAAACCCGGTCTGCTGGAAGAGCAGTAAATACTCCTAACCACTGAACCATCTCCCCAAACCTACATTTTAATTAAAAAAGTCACTCCTCTTATTTATTTATTGTGTGTGTGGGCACTCACGCCACAGCACGCTTGTGGAGGTCAGAGCCCAGCCTTCGTGAGTTGTTTCTCTCCTCCCACCATTTAGGGCCCAGGGATTGAACTCAGGTCACCAGGTTTGGCAACAAGCACCTTTATCCAGCAAGGCATTTTTCTGGTCTTTCTAGTACATTCTTATCCACCCAAGGAGGAAGAACATGGCCTCCTCCTGTTGGTTATTGAGGGGGCAGGAAGACCGAAGAGCCCAGGTCCCAGCAGATCTCTGAACAGTCTCAGAGACTCCTTAGTCTTCTTTGGAAGCTACAGTCACTTCATTATTACCTGCTTTGAGTGGTGTCCAACTTTTTCTGAAATCAAGGACATTTTTAAAAGTCAGTAATTTACAGTACAGCCTTCCAAAGAGTTAGTTATTGTTTTTATATGTGTTTATTGGGAAAACAAATGACTCAAAGCTCTCATGAATTCAGAAAAGCTTTTAGATGACTTTGATGTTGTATTCACCATTGTGGTTAATAAAATATACATTAGGAAAAATAGTTTTAGCTTTATAGGCAAGATGTACCAATTTGCCTTGAGATGTTTGGTATACATATGGATTTGTGGATCTTTTGGAATCTCCTCTGTAATTTCCTGGGGTCTGAGAACTCACATGCCAGAATATTTGCTGCTTACTTTCTTGGGGGCATCTGGCCACATGTAGTTGCTGACAGAGCTAAGGAAGAGTGGCTGAGCATCCGGGCACCTGCTGCTGAATGTGTGACCAAGTCGGGGTAGTGTAGACGGGCATTTTGCTAAGGTTTATCCATCTGTACTTCCTTAAGTCACCTGCATGTGTGGAGAAGGGCCAGAGAAGTGATCAGGGAAGAAGGGTATGCAGGTAGGTGTGGGAGACCCCAGATGGAATGGGGTATACACCTCGCTCAGGAGACAAAAGAAAGGACTGTCAGTGTGTGTGCTGCGGACA